TTCCCAGAAACTTCAATTTGCTAAATCGAGATCTTTTCGTATTTCTTTTTCTTTGAACAGACAGTCATCGGTTCAGTCATACACTGAAGACCGAAATGTGGAAACAGTTCACACATGCAAATTATTAATTACCTATTCATCCATTTCTTATAATGCAGCATTTTTGATATTATTTTAAATTCGATATTATTTTTTATGAACTATTTATTCATATTCTATAATAAATTTTTATCACAAATTTTGTGAAAAAAGCATTAAATTTATTGATAATACAACTTTTAGCGTAAAAATGTAATTAAAATTTAATTAAAATTATTTTAATTCTTCACTCATACTATTTACATATTGACACAGTTCAAAGTATAGCTTCATGCAATGTTTCAGTTCGAACATAAAAAAACACAATTGATTTCTTGTACGAATATGTACCAAGTTATGATATTGCATTATATGCAACACATATTATAATAAGTTTTACAATCAGAAAAAGTTTAGTTTTCTTCAGTAGTTTAGTTTATATTAGAAAAGAGCAATTGCGGGAATCAAATAAACAAAATGACACAGAATCATTGCCGTATTTTATAATTTTTAACACCATAATTTGTCTGTTTTTGCACTGAGAGTGACTCAATCCAGACGTTTGTAATAAATTGCACAATGATATTAGTATGTCAGTTATTTAACTTTGAACTGTAATGTTAAAAAAATACACCAACGGTTACATTGATCTGACAGATCATTATCATATTTCTGCTAATTTTGTAAATCCTTATAATGAAGAATGTACACTATGTTAGTACGTACGTACGTGCGTACACACACACACACCACACACACACACACACACCACACACACACACACACACATTCATTCATATATACGAGGGCAAATCAATAAGTTCTTAGAAAATGAATTTAAACGTGTTCATATATCCATATATGGTGCACTCGTTCAGGACGTCCAATTGAGGCAGCTACCAAAAATCGTCGATAAAGTCCACGATATTGTTTTGATCGACAAGTGAAAGTACGCAAGCTTGTTGAGGCCACAGGCATATCCCATGGCACAGTCATTTCAATTTTGCACGAACAATTGGGTATGAAAAAGTTGCCGACAAGATGGGTGCTGCGTTTGCTCACTGTGGACCATAAGCGCGACCGTGTGACGATTTCAAAACAATGTTTGGAGATATTTCAACGTAATCTAGATGAATTTCATCAATTCATTACTGTGGACGAAGCATAGATACATTACTTCACATCCCAGACGAAAGAACAGTCAAAACAATTCTTCACCGGGTGAATCAGCTCCGAAGAAAGCGAAGACCGTAAAGTCGGAAAGATGATGGCCACAATTTTCTGGAATGCACGCGATATAATTCATATCATGACTTTCCATCGAAACAAACGATCAATAGCGATTATTTCGCAGCCTTATTGAACCGTTTCAACAACATTTTAAAGAAAAAAATGTCCCGTTTGGCGAAGAAGAAAGTGCTCTTTCATCAAGACACGGGTTCATACGTGCACTGACAAATTCAAAGAATGCCACTAAGAATTATTTCCCCATCCATATTCGCCAGATTTATTGCGATCCCTGTGATTATTTCCTGTTTCCAAAGATTCGGAGAAGAAATTTATTACTAGAGAACAGCTCATTGCCGAAACAGAGACTTATTTTAAAGAATTGGACAAATCATATTCGGACGGCTTGAAAAATTGGAGAACCGTTGGATCAAGTGTATCGAGCTGAAAGGAGACTATGTTGAGAAATAAAAATGAATCGATCAAAAAAAATGTGTTTTTCTAAAAACTTATTGACTTACTCTCGTACAAATATGGTATATTTGCATAAAATGTTCAATTAGTTATTCAATCAGATGTTTCATAAAATAAGAACCATGAAAAGATTCTTAACTGTAGAAATTTATACTTTGGGTAACCTATTTATCACAGTGACAGTATTTTAAATATGACGAATAAATATTGATCAATAAAATAATTCGTAAATCATATGAAATTAAATTTAAATTTAATTAAAAGGCTTAACTATTGTATGAGTACAGACATAAGTTACAGTTAGAATTACTCTTTTCGGTTTTTATTATACTTAATTTACTAATTAACTTTTACTTAATTTAATTTAATTTTTCAATTTATAATTAATTCTTAACGTAGACTTGCGACATACGTACTTGTTTTCCTGTTACATTTCCTGCAACATTTCGAAAGATTTAGCGGTCACTTATTACACGTTAAAAAGTTATTAAACTAAAGAACTAACTTAAAATAAAATAAAGAATTCAACTCCCATGACGTTAACCTTGACATATATTGTTAAAGTCATAACCCTGAGTGACTATCGAAATGTTTTGGCAGTTGTTGATTATTAAGAAAATATTAAAATTGTAATGGACAATTCATCTCCGATGAATCTTGACCCATATGTTATGAAGGTCATCACATCGAATAGGCTTCAGAAGGTTATATCAATCATACGTTACAAAGTTATTAAAAATAAAATAGAAAATTCTACTCGATAATGTGACCTTGATATCCGATAATTTGACCTTTACATATATTATCAAGATTATGAACCTGAATAACCATCGAAGGATTTTGGTAGTTGCTCATTGATTATTAAGAAGTTATTAAAATAAAAATGAGGAATTCACTTCCGATTACCTTAACTCTCTCATACATTATGAAGGTCATCACACCGAACAACTTTCGAAAGATTGTAGCAGTCTTACCGCGTGTTACAAAATTATTTAAAAAATAAAATAAAATGACCTCGACTCATATTGTCAAGGTCATGACCCTGAGTGACCATCAGACAATGTTAGCAGTTCGATCATTATTCATTAAAGAATTATTAAAAAGTAAAGTAATAAAAAGGTTGAGATTGCCATCTGAAATTCGAAAAATCCATGGGCCAATGATGACGTTAATAGTAATGATAATAAGTAATGATAATTTTTTAAAATTTAAATGAAATTTGGAACTTGTTGCAATATCTCCGCTCGTAAGACAAATAGGAAAAAAAATAAATGCACTTACATTATATAATTTGGATACAAATTTCGATTGACCATACATAGAATTTTATTATTATATAATGGCACAACCATTATTGAGATATAATAACTGAGATTTCGGAAAATTCACCGCTCCGAGGTAAAAGATACTCAGTATACTGAGAAAAAAATATAGTCAATTTTTATAAATATTTAATTCAATACTGCCAACTAAACATTTACTTGCCATAAATAAATATTCGTTCAGTAAAATGAACTTATATAAACTATAGATTAATAGTAGAGCTACAATCAATTATCAAATAATTATTTTGATATGAAAACTTCAAAAAGAAATCGTGAATCAATATCCATAAAGGACCACATTAGCAAAGTGCCATGTTATTATTTAAATTTGCAAACTCAAAATATATACAGTCATAATATATATAGTCAAATATATACAATCACAGTATTATATAGTCAAATAAAATGTTAAATAACAAATACACATAACAATACATCAAAAATACATATATTCATGTGATAATACGCTCAAGTTTAAGAAAAATAAGGAAGTAGGTGTAATTATAATTATAAAATGCTAAAATGTACTTCAGTAACGTTTCGAAATACTTGAAAGTATGCATTATAATAAGCTGAGCATAGGCTATTGAGTATTAATATATTAGCGTTATGGTGTAACGGCGAACTACTGAACAAATAATTCCATAAGTAATCATTAGGATTCGCTATAATAGCGGAGATATTAAGAGAGGCCACAATATAAATATACATTGGCCAATATACATAATATCATTTTTTTCTCTACCAATTGATTCATTCCATTATTTTATTTATAAAAGTATTAAGATACGATTATCAAAAAGTTTATAAAATTTTTAATATTTTATGTCAAAAGATTACAGAAAAAAAGTATAAAATATCTCATAAACTCGATTCTTCGATATCTTTACCTTGATATTTTTATATACAGAATAGTTAAAAGAATTATGTAAAAAAGAAGAATTATATAGTTCCATTTAAAAAAGAGGTCCTTAATATTTTTTTAGCATCTCCAAGAAAAAACAACATAACCAAAATATGTCCCCCTCGAAACCGTTCCACTTTTATCTGAAATATTTTTAATAAACAAGAATATAAATCAAAACGCTCGAAATTTACACAGCAAAACTATTCAATTATCAATGATCAAATAAACGAGCAATATAAGGTATTTTGTTAAAATATTTAATATTAATTTAATTTATCAATATAAAAATATCAATATAAAACATAAATATAGAAAATATTTAATATTAATTTTACATATCAATATAAGAATATAAATATAAATATAGACGTTTCGGCTACACAGAGCCTTCTTCAATATAATTAAATAAACATATCTCTTTCTCTTAACAACTATTTCAAATCAAAAAAAATTTCATGTCAATTTATTGATGATTAATTATGACATTCTTTGAAGAATTGGCATGATTCATCATCAATTATCATCAATAAATACATGGAATTTTTGAAATAGTTGTTAAGCGAAAGAGATATATTCATTTAGTTATACTGAAAAAGGTGTAACCGAAACGTCTATTCATATTTATATTCTTACATTGATATGTAAAATTAATATTAAATATTTTAACAAAACACTTTATATTGCTCATTTATTTGGTCATTGATAATTGAACTAAAATATTTTTCTTAATAAAATTTATTAAAATCAACAAATAATGAGTTATTTCAATCGGCACTTTTTTAAAGACACCCTGTACATAACGCATGGTACTATAGAGAGGAGTGTGCATCAGCAAATAATATAGTATCAATGTATGTATGTTCATTCTTTGTTTTAATTGCATGAGAGAGATAGGCAAATAGTAGTTTAGTAAGAACAGAGAAGAGAGAGAAAGAGAGAGAGAGAGAGAGAAAGAGAGAGATCGATACTGATACTATTGATTGACTCACCACAGGCACGGTCTCTTCATCAAAAAAAGAGAAATCCTTGAATGCTTCTTGTCTCGCTAGAGCGACAACATCAGTAGATGAAGATAACATACTGCCTAAGGTAAAACAAATGACCAAGCTATACACGTCTCTTTCGACTATCGCAGATACACTACATTCAACTATATCACACGCTCATACGAATGAGGGCACTTTCCCGTCTTCATATCAACCGTTTATTTGCTCCGTCTATTCTCATCTGTTACCACCTCCGCCGACAAATACGCAGAGCACGTGCGGTTGCATGATTCACGCGGGAATATACAAAGCGGTTTTATAAAAATAAGACATGATAGCACTTCATAAATAATATGTTAGTTAAAAATTTATGTAAATCTGAAAAAATTCTCCTATTTGAAAAAGTGCATGTTAACATCAAAAATCTAATGGATCGGAATTTATATAATCTCTTGAGGCTTCTTACTGCCTTTTTTCCGAAATGTCGATTGATTCTCTCGCTGTGTTTACTTTGGAAGCACGACTGTCACCAAAGTCTCGTTTCTTGATAATTATGTGTAACAGAATAAATCAATCTGTAAGGACTCCTTACTATTCAAAAGAAATTTGGAAATGACAGAGCAGGAGTCGGACGCGGTCATTGGACAAATAATATATAAATATAACACTCTTTATTACAATAACGCGCTTACATGTTTCGGCTTATTTTTCAGAGCCCTCTTCAGAGAGTAAATCACCTTTATAGATACAATGTATACGTAATAACTATCTTGTATAGTGAGCTCTGCACACAAAAAACTCCTATATTAAAATTAAATTCAGATGAATGTTACAAAGAAAATAGAGGAACAATTTTTAAAACATATCAGAGATGAAATTTGGAAAACTTCAATAAATTTAATTCAATGAAAGAAAAGAAGCTTATCATGAACATAAAAACACCATGTCGCAAACAATAAACGACAATTATTTGATCAAAAATTAGTTTTTGGCCAATCAGATTAAGTATATTATTTTTTAATTTTACTTCAGACGCATGGGCTCAATTTACAGACGGACATGGAGAGCTTCCCAAGGCCTATTTTCTGATTATTGACAGGCATAAATGTTGACTTGTTTTGGTTTTAGTCAGTCAGGTTTTGTCATCCCTGCATAGTAATGAAGTCTTCCTATCTTGACTATCAATCGTCTTCTGATTTTCTTTTTACCTTTTAAATTAAATAAATTAAATAATTATCTTTAGAGTTTAAAATTAAAGAATTTTAACTAAAATAAAAAATTATATAATAATATAATGGCTCAATAATTTAAAAAACAAGTTAAAAGAAAAAGGGTTACGAGCCAGAAATTTTACTTATAAAATTGATAGATAAAAAATGTCTTAATAAATTAATTATAAAATTTGATAACATGCCGGCTAACAACAAACGTTTCGATCACGATCGGATCATTATCAATGTTTACAAAATATGTCCAAACGGTAAAAAAACATAACATAAAATCGATCGAAAATATAATAAAATACAATAAAATTGAAAATATACTTCACATTAAACTATATAATTGTTGATATCAATAAATAAGAAGGATCTTCGTCTTTTTAGTCAAACTGAACAGTAACATAAAATATTATTAGAATTTGTCAAAAAAGTAGAAACTTATATATAATTATACTTATATATTAATATTTATTTTATTTTGTAAAAAATGAACAAAAACAGAATGTAAACAGAAAATTTAAGTCATTCAAATTGATCTTTTGACAAAACAAATCTATATGTTTACGCGAGAATCGGTCGCGCGTTCAGAGTGCGTGTGATATTGTTTGTTTGTCCGATGCGCGATGTCGACTCGTGGTCTTTGTACATATGGTATAACTATATGTTACAATTATACATCCACTACATTCAGTATTCATAGATCATCGAAATAGCAGTTCCCATATGGTCGCAAAAGTCAAGCATGCCATGTCGAAGTACAGATTTGAATGGATGACTGCTTATGAAAATCAGGAAATTAAAGTAAAAAGCGTTTTTTTTTTATTATTTTTCAATCATTTTGTCATGTATGTTCCGAAATATAATGTTAATCAATAATACTTATTTAAATAATAAAATTGAATTAATTATTATAACGTCGCATGAATTGCAACGTTTCACAGACATAATTCAACGGACATTAGACGATTCTACAACATCTCTTCAACATTGAATCTACATTTCACGATGTTACTGCAGTGTTCGCAATGTTGCAATTCAACGTTTCTGAGATATTGATTCAATATTGATTAGTATGCTATATGGGAAAAACTAGTTTTTGACCAGATAATTATTGTTTATTGTTTGCAATATGGTATTTTATGTTCATGATAAGCTTCCTTTCTTTTATTGTGAATTAAATTTATTAAAGTTTTCCAAATTTCATCTCTGATATATTCTAAAAATTGTTTTTCTTTTTTCTTTGTAACATTCATCCGAATTTAATTTTGATATAGGATTTTTTTGTGTAGCGGAGGGATTAATCTCATTATGACAAGATAGTATATTATTATGTATGCATTGTATCTATAAAAGTAATTTATGATTCTGAAGAGAGTTCAAAAGTGAGTCGAAATGTGTAGATGCGTTATTGTAATAAAAAGTTATATCTGTATATTATTTGTCCAATGATTACCGCGCCCGACTCCTATTGCCCCTTCATCTTAAAATTTCTTTTGAATTATGATTATGTAATACATGAAGAGGTTATAATTGTTTTCAAAATTGTCAAGTAAGTTTCATTAAATGTTTCAATTACTAAACATTCATTCTTAATATTTAATTGTAAAAAATTAATACATTGTGTTATATTTTATTTTCAAATAGCGATTTCCGTATTAACACTATTAATTTTGCTAAATTGCATATTTAAGATAAACAAAGTATTAATAAGTACAATAAAATAAATAAAATAATAAATACAAAAAGGCGTACAAGAGTCAAGCGTAATTATTATTAAGCAAATAAAACTCATTAGTAACAAATAATATACAGTCTGTCACATGAGAACGTCGTCCGCATATTTGAAAGAAAAATTATTATTTTTAAGGAACGTATAGATGAATTTAAAGTGCACTAAAAGCACTATTACTTAAGTAAATCATTCAGTCTTCATTACTGACAAGAATTCATTAGCATCGTTTTGGCATATTTTCTATAAGATGTTCTGCATATTGTTTCGGTAACGACCACCAGATAATTCGGACATGGCGACACATTACTTTAAAATGAACACATCTTTTTTTTGAAGCTTCCTCTAAAGATTACTACCCAGCCAAGAACTCTGCATTGACAGTAGCGACACAGAATCAGACGACGGTCTGGCGAAACCAGTAGCCACATACTTAAGGACGAGTCTATGTCGTGTATTCACTGTGGCGCGCCAAGAGGAACGAGACAGCGAGATCGTTCTCATATCAGTCGCTTGCTCAAGTGATCGAAAATGCTTTTTCGGCAATCTCGGTCGCTCAGTGGTCATAGACATCAATAAAGGAGGGCATTCTAAATAACATATAAGTTTTAATAAATTGTAGTAATACTTCTCCCATTAATCCAGAATAGTATAAATCATGTTGTAACGCAACAGTTTACGAGATATTTAATTGTTTAACATTTTTTATGCGCGTTATATAGTATACTACTCCTTCATAAACTCGAGTAGCAAGTTCAGTAGAAGCAGAATTTTAACCGGAAAAAATTATAAACCAGCATTTCTTTTCACGAAAGTCTCGAAAGATCATCAGAAAAGAAATGCGTATGTTTAAGACTCGAGACTTGTGAAAAAAATATGCGAAAAAGAATCGAATAATTGTAAAAAGCACGTATTTCGTTAAAACAAAAAATATTGATTGTATGCAAAAAAGTTCGGTAAAAAATATAAATATTCGAAATACTTACAAAATAAGAGGAACATTAAAGTCGATCTATTAGTTCAGTAAAAAAAAAAAATCAAAAACACACAAATCGAAAAAAACCTTTTTTTCACTCACCCTTTCTTCATTGAGATTTAAACGCAAAACTTTGAAATTCTCATAAAATATTAACGTAATTATTAAAGATATAACATAAACTTTCGCAAATATAAAAATAAATTAGTGTTACACGAAAAATATATTTTGCAACTATATATTATATTCAATAGTTACACTAACATTTGGTAAATTACTTAATTACTGATTAATTATTAATAATTTGTTTACATATATCATATTTGCATCTGCAATTGGACATTTTTTATACAATATATTAAATATACATAGCTAATAACTTAAAGTTGTTAATCAGACATGCACTTCATACATGATTTTTTAGTAATAAACTAAAAAAATAAAAATTCAAAAAACAAAAAACTAAAAATTTCACTTTACGAAACTTTGGTTAAGCTATTTGTTTATACCATTCTAGATTAATAGGAGGAGTACATTATTACTAAATTTTAAAACAATTTATTAAAACTTATATGTTATTTAAAATAAAAAAATCCAAAAATCAGGACATGAGAGTCAACGAGATATTAGTTAATACGCAATCTTAAATCTTTTATATCTCATCGAGCTACCTCAGATTTAAAAAAAAATCATGTTTCCACGTCAATTATTTATTACTGAGAAGATGTAAACTTAACAAATTTTAACATGCGAATCGCCGAGCGGCCCGATCTTTCCCACTTGACTGCGCGCCGGCTTCTCTCATTCCCAGCTCGCGTTCTTTAACTTCCCAATGATTTTAAACAAACTTTTTCGGTAGCAAAACATTCGAGAATTTTGAAAAGAAAATGACAGCAAATTCAATTCTTCCTTGACTATTGATGCGAGACGGAATTCTTAATCTTAAAAACCACAGTGATTTTTTGAAAAAAAAATTATTAGCTCCTAATCGAAAGATAATCTTTTTTTTTAAATTCATAGAAAAATATCAGATGTTAAATGTTTCACATAGCTGTTTGATATAATGCATATTAATGGAATTATTCCATTCTTTTATATGGAAAAAAATACTCTTTAAAATCGTTTTATAATCATTTAATGCAAAAAATCATTTTGTTATTAAGTGTACGTGATAATACAATTCTTGAAGAAGAAAAATCATCCTTGTAAATTGTTATGCGACAGTTCAAAAATGAAGAAATTAAATTTTCTGCAGACAGGTTTTTAGTGAACAAATGGTTTTTTGCAA